CTCTCTCTCTCTCTCTCTCTCTCTCTCTCTCTCTCTCTCTCTCTCTCACTGTTTTCATCACCCTGTCTTCTTCATCCCCTTCTCTCCCCCTTTGCCAATTATACCATGAACCTGCCTGCTGCTTGTTGCTAAGGGGGAGCCATCCGGGGGAGCAGAGTGGACGAGGCATTATTTTGTTTCCAAGGTAATGAATGCTTCAGTAACGGCAACTGTCAAGTGTCACAGAACGGTGTTGCATTGCACTAGGCTGTTCGCCTGCTGAGATTGAACATTTTTTGGACTCACAATATGGTTCTTAGTGTAACTGGAGCACGGTTTGTTTGTATGTGTGAACTCTTTGGCAGTTTATTCAGTTTGTATCAGTTGACTTGATGTCATGGGCTTGTTTATTTGAGCTGTTGTGGGGGATGTCTGCCCTTTGAATATGTGTGCAGTGTCCTTTTGTGTTTGTCTCCTCATAAATTGGTGTTTGCTTTGATTTTAGGTTGTGCAAGTGCAGATACAAATACACGCACTGTACAACAGGGCATGTGGGTGCTCTCTGGCTGTCTTTCAGCAGCTGCCAGTATTTGGTCCGTTTCACTATGACACAAGCTCTCAATTAACATCTCGGATGGACCACTCCGTGGACTTTGATTTGCATGCCTGAGCAACTCAATTGGGAGGAAGTTGTTTTCTAGAATTGCAGCTTCCTGTCCACAAGGGACCTATTGGATCGCAATTGTTTTCTTCCAGCAGGTGCTACGCGATCCATACTGCCTGCCTTTCTATACGGCCATCGAGGCAGACGCAAAGATTAGCTGTCTAATGTGCTCAGACTCTAAAAAGAGCACAGACGTTGTCAGCCAATGGGGAGTGCTGCACTCCGCACTTCTGGTGGCAGCAATAAACGGTAAGGTGAGAGCGGATGATTACTTATTCACTCATACGCATCACCGTGCTCCGTGGTTTAATAGATTAAAGTGTTCAACTATGGTGACAAAGCCACCTCACGGTACACCTCTGCTGTTGTTCAAGCTGGTGGTACGCTGAATTTTAACAATTTCAGTTTCCCCTTCTCTCCACCAGAGCCATTATCTGCAGTTGTTCAGACTTGTCACATTGCGCGGCTGCAATTACATAATTCAACGACTCCAAATCCCTTTGCTAGCTGCTGGCCCTTGGAAAGACGCAGCGTTACTAATTCAGTTAATGTATAAAGGTTTCATATTGTGCCTGTCATGAAGTACTATCTGTGTCCTCGGTGCTTTCTCCCCTCAAAAGCTCACCATAGTTCTTTTTTAAACACAAATAGCTGTTACAGTGAAGAGTGAAGGCCCAGTGAGCCATGTGATTATTTTTTTTCCCTGGCAGCTTTATCCTCCTGCACTTTGTTTTAAGTACTGAAAATGTATGAATGTGTCTAAGTGTGTAATCCACCCTGTCACCCCTCTTTCCTCAGCATGATTAAAGGACTAATAAATGGTTTAACCCATTTAATACACACAGGAGCCTTCAATGGCGAAGGGTAGACGGGGCTAAGGGGGCTTGTTGAAGCCCAGTCGTCACGTTATGTAAATCCTTAGTTAAGCAGAATTAATTCTCCTGAAATAGTGATGGAGGGAGAGAGGCGACAGCCAAGAGGAAGTGATGGGGACTCCATCCGGGTTGTAAATAAAAATGCCCTTTTAAAACCTTTTTATTTATTTATTTATATGTGACTGATACAAACATCAACAAACGTATAGTGGCTCGCATTGACCACAGTTAAACTATCAGTATCAACTCAGTGAGTGTTCATTCATTATAAACACCAGTGTGTTTTTTTTTAAAGAAAGATGACTCATCTCCTTAAGGCCACATTGACTTTGGGTTGTCGGCAAACATCTGTGCTGTATTCATAATTACTGCCATCCAGACTCCCTGAGCTGATACCGTACTGCAGTGGTGCCCAACTTGTGTTCAGTTGAACTGATTTTTAATTGGATGTTATTTGACACAATTGATTACATAAAAGTGGATACTGTTGCAATCTTTTTGTCCTACAATTTAACTGTTAATGTGGTCAAGTCTGCATTGGGACTACTATCATGTGGCGCGGCATACGATTCAGCCATTTATCCATTACCTTTATTTAACTATTTCATTTATCCAGTTAAGTTTAGCCATTACATCGAGCTTTGTATTCATCCAACCCTGTTTTAGCTATTTCAATAGTTACCCATTACTTTTAGCTCTTTCAAACATTTATCCCTTACTATATATATATACTGTGTATCTAATACTTTCAGTTATCTAATTAACCATTTATCTCATGCTAACTGTTTAGACCTCTCTGCTCATGCTAATACATGTTCACACTAAATTGCATGTGTCCAGGAGCTACTCCACAATCCTTCACGTTAACTGCAGAAGTGCCCCACAGGTGCGGATGGTTGGGAATCGCTGCTGTATTACATGTTGAAGGTTTGACTCTGCAGCTTAGTTAATATTCAGCTTACGTCAGCCTACCTTCGCTCTCTTATCTGTCCGCACTGACAGACGTCTCCCTTCCGAGACAGCAGCACACATTTTGGCAGCTGAATGTCATGGCGATAAAAAGCTGGAGGAATTTTGGTGTTCAGGCAAAATAGAAATGCTGACTGATGTTTATCGAGTCGTCATTTTGGGTTCTTCCTTAGTCCGGGGGATGCTGGGTGCTGTGTTGATGTGGTTCATCTGTTTCTTTGACAGAGCTGAGTGAAAATGGCGGAGGGGTCCAGAGACCAGGGAGGAGTGGGCACCACTGATTCAGAGGAGGACTCCCCCAATATGATCGTCTACAGAAAGGTAAGGCTGACCGCGTGTGTGTGTGCGCTACAGTATCTGGCCTATATTAATGGACAAACATTCGCTGCAAGAAATGACCCGTAGACAGGCTCCTGACAGCCCACTGGTCCGTGTCAGTGTGTATGTACCGGACACTCGAGTGTCAGGAGGCCTCTCTTTCAACCATCTTGAAACAAGCTCAACTCTACCTGTCTCTCGGGACCTTCTTCCTACCGCTGTACTGTACCATCACTTGTCTGGCAAACTTCAGCCCTCCAATATTTTAATAAGCTGTCAGTCCCATCAGTGAGGGGTTTGGGCAGTGAGAGGTCCTTTCAGTGTCGAGGGTAATTACCTCGTCCCAGAGGTGCCTACATTTCAATAGCTGCTGTTTGAAAGAAGAGGGTGAAGCAGTATTGGTGGCTAATTACGTGAATGTTCGGGTGAGAGGAAGTAGCTGGTTCTCGAATGCCGTGATTGGGGACGGCCAATGAGGGGGTGGTTATTCCTCCTCAACCGAAGAATAGCTCGTTATTTCTCTGCCAGTATTGTGACAGCCCATTTAAAAAATAAAAGAAGCTTCTTTTGATCAGATTTAAACCACGGGATCCACTGCTACCCCCCCCTGAGACGGCTGTCTTGATAACGGTAAAAAAAGTGTTCTATAAGCAGGCCGCAGTTGACAGATCCTGTCCCACTGTCCCAAATCTGTTGTTTCATCCTGCTCCTAATGATTGTCCATTTATAAACAGATTAGCGGAGGGATGGGCGAGACAGGATGTGAAGTAATTGTTGACAGCGGCTGCGTCAGTGGTAAAATGTCTCTTTCGGGATTGTTGTTATAACCATGTGCCACTGCGGCGTTCAGGGCTTAGTGACAACTTGAAGAATTTCCTGCAAACCTCCATCTTTGTAATAAACACCTCAAGTCTGCAGCTCACACAGACAAAAAACTGTCAGGACCTTCTTTGACCTCAGAAACGTGATAAATCTCTCGCGCTACTTCTGATAATGATGCTAGTGGGATTGGGTGCTCTGAACAGAGTAGTTGGCTGCATAAAACAAAAGAAAGTGCATTGCCAGCACCAATTTACTTGTCTACTGTAGATTACCCGTTAGGTAGGAATCATAAACTACAATCAAATAAGAAGAGAAGAAATGTCTTGTCTCTCTGAAGCCTTGATTTCATGACTGACGTCACATTGCTGTTAAAAATATTTGTGTACTGCATGCTCTAGTTGCATTCATTGTTTATTCAATTTTGTCATTATCCTCCGTGTATTCTAAGGAGCTGTCACGCTGCAGAGAGAACATACTGTGTAGTCTGATCTAAAACTGTCTATCTTTATAGATTTCATGGCAGAGCCTTATTATGCAACGCAACACGTGCCTGGAGGCAACGCATTTGAGAGGCTTGATTTTGCTTGTCAGGATACTGCCTGAGGAAATGTACATCATTTCATGTTTTAGTCATACGCAGTGACAACAGACAGATGATTCTGAGAGTGACAGGATTCTGCCGCCCCTTCTTGCTTTTAGAATTTTTGATTCAAAGCTTTTGGGGATGAAAGCTGAGGAAGTAGCCGATTAAGCAAAGGCGTTTTTTTTTTATATACAAAGAAACAATATTTTGAAACAACATATTTGTCTTCATATAAGGTCTTAATGTAGTTTTATATATTTTACCTCTGTTCCACTCACTAGCTGAAGATGTCAAAGAGGCCAGACGATAGAGAGGTGCTGGGCCTTTGAGGGCAGAGCGTCCATGGCCTCTGGACTCTGTGGGTGGGGCAGGCTGGCGCAGTGTGAGGGCGCTGCTTGCAGAGGGGCAGATGGCCACCAATATGCTCAGCCGCCTGGGAAAACACTGGCCGCTTCATCCCAAAGGCCCGAGTCCCTGTCAGCTGGAAGACATCAGCACCTTATTGCAAGGAGCAAAATACTCGTGTAGTCTTAGTGAAGCGATACAAATATTTCAAAGTGTGGCCGGCGCCTTTTGTGAAATGTATGGAGAGTATGCGTTAAAATACCTTCACTATATCTGTTGCAAAAGTGTTAAGTTAACTGTGTAGGCAGTTGTATAAAGGTGAATGTGATGTATTCAGCCATTAGAGAGGCTGAGTGCCTGGGAGGGGAGGACGTTGTCTCTGTCCATGCAGTGTAGGTGCTGCAGTACTATCTTGCTCTGTCTCTCTCCTCCCACGAAAAGAGGAAGCGAAGCAAAACAATCCAATAACTGCAGGATGTCTTATTGCCTCAAGAACTTTTGGTCGAACACAAGTAGGTTGCGCACATACTGTAAATGCGCACACACACACACACACAGGGACTCATACACAAGCTTAATGCCGCTTTAATGCACACTGCCCGTTCTGGTCGGTGTGTTTTTCCTTGCTATGTTTGCCGTGCTCAGCAGACAGAATCTGGCATGGTAGATGAATTGGATTGGCACCAAGAGACACACAAAATACAGACTCAAACTATTGATGAGAAACGCTACTGTGCTGGGAAATGCAATTAAGCTTAAGGGTCCACTTTACTGCTCTGATGGGGTAAAGCTCACAAACTATTAATAGCTAACATCTCTCCTTCCTAAGTGCGTGTGTGTGTGTCTTCCACTTTTTCCCCTCTGTGACATGGGGGCTGTGATGACTGTCTGGTTTTTGACACACGTAGTTAATTGACAAACACTCCCATCATACCCACGGAGAGTTAAGGATTCCTGTTGAACCCCCGCTTCCTTTTTTCATTAAATGTTTGATTGGATAATTCTTGGCAGTCAACTCATACCTGAAGGTGGGTATTAATAAAGCCATAGTGGTACAATCACACAACACCTTTATCCAGACAAGTTTTAGGAGCCATTAATGGGTAAATATTAGTAATGAGCCATGCTAGGAAGTTCAAAGGCACTACTCGGTGCCAGTGGCCTTTGGGTGTGTGTAAGCTTTAGCACTCTATTAGCAGGGAGATTGGTTAAAAGTTGAAACTGCCTTATGTTCTAGCTTAATATACTAGATTTTCTCCACCGGTAAAGCGTGCTGCTCTAAAATCTCCGTCTGTAAGATAAATCAGTACAGGAAATCATTTTAACCTTTAGCTGGCAATGTCCGTCTGTGGATTGGTCGGTCCACCACTTTGTCCAGACTGTAATGTCTCACAAATGTTGGCAAGATTGCCATTAAATGTTCTACAGATATGCACAGTCGTCAAGGGATGAATTCTGGTAACTTTGTTGCTCCTCTGACAGCGTCACCTTTCTCCTTTTTTATTGAGGCTGCTAATAGTGTGTTTCTTGCAACCGTACCGTGTCATTGCTTAATGGTAAATGACTGTATTTATAAAGCTTAACAATTGGCCTCTCATTCACCCACACACTCGTACACCGATAGCAGCAAGCCACCATGCAAGATCGTGGTCTGAACATCAGGAGCAACTTATGGGCTCAGTGTCTTGTCCATGAGAGGACATTTCAATATTGGACAAGAGGAGCTGGGCATCGAACCACCAACCTACACTCCTCCAGAGTCACAGCCGCATCCTCTGTATAGCTTGCTGGCTTCGCAATGAGCTTTGTATTTAGGGCTAAATTAGGAGATGCTAGCATGCCGACCTGTGATGCCAACATGTGAAAACACTCTAAACATTAGCATGTTATAACATTGTCATTATGAGCATGTTAGCATGCCAATATTTGCATTTAGTTCAAAGCACAGCTGTTGCTAAATACCACCCCACAGAGCTGCTAATCTTTTTATATATATATTTTACTACCTTTCCCTTTTCTTCTTCCCCCATCATTTCCTTTTCCAGCCTTTCTTCTACTCTTTGCTAATTAATAAGTAAAGCTCATTTCAAGCGTTCCAGCTTTGGAAAATATCTGATCCTCTGAGACACCATATCCCCCCCACTCATTTATTCATATCCTGCATATTTTGTTTTATTTTTTATCATCACTTATTTTTATCTATGTGTGCTCCTAAATGCTGAGAGAGGATAACTAAAAGGGAAAAAAACAAAGGATATGAAGAAAAGATGTCTTTTTAAAGTTGTATTAAAACACACTTTCTAAGGACAGACTTTGAAATACTAACATTCCAGTGCTGTGATACATGATAGTGTTATCATCGCACCTGTGTCGTTCCTTCAGGCTGGATAGATTTTGAAACTAACCTAGCTTGATTGATGGGGAAGAAGAAATGACTGTCAATGCCAGCCTTAAGCTCCCTCACTGTCTCCACCAGTGACTGTCAGCTGGTTGGGTTTAGGATGATATAAAGACAGGACACAAAAGGAGTTCCCTTCCCTCCTACAATGCGGATAATATGGACATACTGGAAATATGTAAAAAAATAACGACCGCAATCACACAGCCGGAGAGAGTCTCCCTCGACTGAACGGAGAAGATGAAATTACTGTACACAGCAACTTCACACATCATCCATTCGCCTTCCACAGCAAGGACTGGCAGCTGGTTTGGTTTGAAGGGCCGAGGGGACGGTGTTGCTCTAGTCCTGCTGGTCAGACAGAAGCTCGCCTGCCTGTCTTTCTGCTGCCGCCCCACGAGTTGCACTCTCTCCTCTCTCTGATATTGCCCCTGGGTCACATGGAGGGTATAGCTCTCCTCTTTAAGTCTAACCTCCGTCCGAGGTGTCTATGGGCCACTACTTGCTGTTCCTGTCTGCACTTAAGATAGCACGGTCCAGCCGAACGCTCTGGATATTGCTTCTGCAGCTGTAGGGACAAGTTCTCCCAGTGCTTTATCATATATGACCGTTTTAACATCGTCTCCTCTTGCATCACGGGAGCCTTAATCTGACGTGCTGGAATGGGCTATCAGGGTCAGACTGAAGCATGTGCGCCTGTGTGCTAAGTGCCAGTGTGGGTTGCTTTCCAAGTTGGGTCAATAAGATAAAACAACAGTAACAGTGTAAAGCTGTTACATAACCAATTGTTTAATGTGTTGGCCTGTCTCTTCTCTCCAGTTGAGCAGAAGGACCGACGCATGAAAATCCTGGAAG